TGCCTGATCTCAAAGTGAAACACATACATGACACAACTAAACATACTATATACAACATATGTATAGACCCATACCCCTACATATACATAACAATAAATATTAAATACTGTCCATCTTGAATATATAATGGAAGGAGGAAGCTTGAGAGTTCACAAGGTTAATGCTGTATGGAATGAAACCATGGCTGAATCTGGATGTTCTGCTGTGGATACCACGAAGCCTCCTCCCAGAAGGTAACAAGGAAAACATGTCCTGAAGAGGATGTGTAGTGTCCCAGATAATCTTATGGACCCTGCTCAAGCAGCGCTTCTGTGCTATGTCCTGGATGGGAGTGAGGGAACTGCCAAGTCATCTTTTGAGCCATCCTCACCACTCTCTGCACTGCCTTCCTGTCTGAAGCAGTGATGTTTCCAAACCAGACTGTGATGCTGTATCACAGGATGTTCTCGATCGTCCCTCTGTAGAAAGTGGTCAGGACGGAAGGAAGATGTGCTATTCTCATGTGACCCAGAAAATGCAGGTGCTGCTGTGCCTGCTTCACCAGTTTCTCACTGTTGAGTGACCAAGCCAGTCTACTCGTTAACTGCACACCCAGGAATTTGATGCTGTTAACCATCTCTACAGATGAATCATTAATGCACAGAGAAGTGTGGCTGTGCCTGCCTTTTCTGAAATTGACAATGATCTCTTTAGTTTTTCCAGTATTTAAAACTAGGCTGTTATACCAGCCTTACACCAGTTCACCAACCCCTCAACTTCCTTGCGGTAAGCACTCTCATTGTCATCATGAATAAGGCCCAGTACTGTTGTATCATCTGTGAACTTCACAATATGGTTGGTGGCAAAACTAGCACAACAGTCATGCGTCAACAGGGTGAACAACAGTGAACGTAAGACGCAGCCCTGAGGAGAACCTGTGCTCAAGAAAATGATATTAGAGATATTTGTTCCAACTCGCACATATTGGGGCCTGTTGGTAAGAAAATCAAGAATTCAGTGCACAAAGGAGTGTTTAAGCCTAAAAGGCCCAGCACCATGAATTGTACTCAGAAGCCAACTGGCAGCTAGTGTAGCTACTGTAGCCATTGTAACACATGGGCATGTCAAGACACGCCTATTATTGCTTGTGTCACTGCGTTTTGAACCAGCTGTAGATTCTGGTAGTCTTTCAGGACAGTCCCATGTAGAGTGCATTGCAATAATCCAAATGTGAGGTGACAGGGCAGGATTGTTTGAAGACCTTCTGATCAAGGAAAGCATATTTTGTGTCCCAGACAACATGAATTTTCTTCACCATGGCCCTGGAGGTAATCCTGTGGTCCAGACTCTCCAGAACAGGCTGCTAGGAGGTTATCGGCACAAATAATAAGGGTGAAGAAATAGCGGCATGTTTTATCATGAAAATTTTGAAGTAGGTAGAGATGCAACTAGAAGCTTTTATCAAATTAAATAAACCTTCATGCAAATTGGCCATTTTGAATAAAGGGCTTGTAGAGCAATTGTAGGACTATTTTGTGTTTTATGACAATCTTGAGAGCCATCAGCTAAAGTTTGCAAAACAATAACTCAGGTTGATGGATAAACAGAACAGGATACCTCTGAGAATATGCTCACCCCAGGAATTTGTAATCAGTATTTGTCTCAAACTCACAAAACTGCTGTGGTTTTTCTTCAAGCAACATTTTTCATCAACTAACACTGAAAAGAGGGGGAAGAATGGGGTGCCTATTGTGTATTGCTAGACTGTTAGGAGCCAGAAACCTTGACAGCTTGTTCCAAAACATCAAAGATCTACTTCTACCTATCCCTGATGTGGCCTTTTCTGTTCACATGTGTACAATATTCCTAAGGAGAGAATACACAAATGAGTATATTAATAAAACTCCAACATATATTTGAATGGTGCTCTAATCAATAGGTTATGTATTGAAAACTGACTAACTGAGAACACAAGGCATTCCCTTCTGTTGAGAAGAAGGGGAGAGTCCTCTGGGTAATAGTTACTTGGTATTCTGAGATAGTGGCATGATCAACATAAGGTTGTGTTCAAAAAACATGCTCTTTCAAAAACAGAAGATGAATCTGCCAATTTTAACAGACAGAAATATGAGGATTGTTTGTGACAAAGCTGTTCACCTAGTTTAAGTAATTAAAAAATATTAGGCAATGAAAGGAAGAAACATCTAAGAATCTAATACATCTCATTGGAATAGATTATGCAATTTTATGAATGAAACTTGTCATAATTGGGAGCTGGGAGAAAATAGGTTGTTTCATCCTATATGTGGTGGGTTGATCAGATTTACTCAGCATTTAAAATATTTTTTTAAAAAAAATCATAAGGAAGTTGAAAGGAAATCTATATATTTTCTAGTGTGCTCATCATTTTCTGTTGGAACTGTGTCTAAAAGAAAAAAAATGGCACTAAGATAAGAGAAGGCACTCTCTGAACTCCTGCAAAACTGCTCCCATAAGATAATGTTCAATTTGATTAATTGATTAAATATTTTAGTATGATTACATTAACTACATCTCATCGATTATGTTTCAGAAGAGGAACTTTCCAACTTAAGGGAAAGCACTTGTCTTTGACTTATTAAAGCAGCTGTATGTTTCTCAGATTCTTGAGGCTGCTTCATAAGTGGCTCCCCATTGTCTCAGCGCCCATGCATTTCCACCTGGCTTTCTCAGGAAGTAGTGGTGATGAGAAGCAGATTGGTTATCCAAACACATACAATGCAGTGTGAACTTGAGAGAGCTTATGAGCAGCCATGCAAGCCTAAAACAAGGTGCAGCTGCTTTAATGATCTGGAAAGAAATATAGCCTCTTATGTATTGTGAAACACCTCTTTCCAAGGATTTTTCTAGCTGTACTACTTATCTTGTTTTAGTTTATTTTTAATAAAACCAGAACTGGTATATATCTCGATTCACCTACAAAGCTTTTCTGAGAGCATAGGTTTGCCTCTGAATTCCGTCCCATTTCTAGAAACATTTCTGGATCCATGGTACTTCTCAGCCCCATTCTCTTTCTCTGACTTTGTTTATCCTTCATCTTATTTGTATTTTAAGAAAGTGAATGTAAGCTCCCTTGATTTGGAAATGCTTACCGTTTTTCTCTACATACTCTTTAGTACCAAATTCTGTGCAGGCAGGTAAAAACTAAAAAAGTAGTATTAAAAGTATTTTTTTATCTTCCTGTGAATGGCCTTGAAAATCAGTCTTGTAGAAAAATTGAGTATACATTTTATCAATACAGTAAAAAGGATTCTACTGTAATAGGCTTGGCTCACATCAGATGCAGCCTTTTTGATGATGGATAAACTTTTCAGTTACCTCTTTTCCTGAATCTTTCGTTGTATAGATGACAAGATTTTTGGCAGCAGCATTTAGTTTTCAGAATTCTTGCTGCTGTCTGAATTAAACGTCTTTTGAAATTCTCTTGTTTGCCATTATGAAAAGTGCAGAAGATTTCATATGGGCAGGCTGGCGACTCCTTTTCTAACTAGGGGTGTCTAAATGGTTGGGTGGGTGGAAATTAAATCAGTCATGATGGTGGGTGTATTTGAAGCTCTGTCTCTTTTTAACGAGGGTCTCATCCACATAAAAACTGTATGGATGCTGTTCAGAGAAAACTAGGACAGGAAGACAATTTGACTTATCCATCTGTTTGCAGATATTTTTTGGTCATTTTGTGTGTGTGTATTGACAAATATCCATAAAAACACAACTCCTGGGCATATTTACAAGACAGATAAAAACACGATCACCAGGAGAATATAGGTATAAAAAATACACTTTACTAAAAACGCCAAGCTTTCGTTGGGGAGGCTCCCAACATCATCAGGGCTGAGAAGCCAGTAAACAATGATGACTTAAATGGGTTTGGCTGACATTTTCACCCAGCTCTTGGACCGCGTCACTGAAAACACCAGCCTAAAGATGACGAATGAGACTTCGTCGAAACATCGCCAAGACACTTCCAATTTGACGCGGGAGAAAACCCGAATAACCAAAGACCTACATACAAACACCAGTGAAAACCTCAGAAAACACACACACACACACACACACACACACACACACACACACACACACACATATATATATATATATATATATATATATATATATATATATATATATATGGGGAAAGATGTAACATTTACAGAAGGACTAGCTCACTTTTGCATTTAAACTGGAAAAATATTGGTATAAATACAAATTGGATACAATGTCAATTCTATTATAATCTCTGTCTTATTTGGAGCTTTCATATATAAGAACAAATAAGCATGAGCTTATGTGGAGAATAGATGGTGGGCAAGAGCTGTCCCTGTGAATCATGCTGCCCTTTTTTAGATATGTGAAAATAATGTTTTCCTGATGATGATGATGATATCCATTCAGTCACATCCAACTCTTGGTGATTCAGTGGGCCAGGTCTCTCCACATCTCTCAACATGCTTGCCTGAGCTTTTTCATAATCTCATCTCTTCTTACCTCTTCTTAGATATCCACTATCTATAAGTCAATATAGCTTGTTATTATAGACTCAAAAAAAGAAGGAAGGAAAAGATACACCATTTGGTATATTTGGTATTGATTGTCATAGATATAATACATCAGAGAACTACAGCATTGGGGAAGTGGAAAAAGATAGTAATAACACTAAGCAATAGGACTTAAACTTATATATCACTTCACAGTGCTTTACATCCCTCTCTAAGCGGTTTACAGAATTAGCATATTGCCCTCAACAATCTGGGTCCTCATTTTACCCACCTTGGAAGGATGGAAGGCTGAGTCAACCATGAGCTGGTGAGAATCGAACTGCCGGCAGCTGGCAGTCAGCAGAATTAGCCTGCAATACTGCATTCTGACCACTGCGCCACCATGGTTCAGTAGTTAGATAAAATAAGGAGGCATTTCTAGTGGAACAAGGATGCTCCCTTTATAGGAAAGTTGGCATTGACTACATTATTTCTTTTTCTTTGCAGAGTCACAGTGCACACTCTGTGGTGAACCTGAAGGTGAGTCCTGTAATTTGACTATTCATCATTTCCAAAGTTAGTTGTGTTGTCTAACTTGTATGAACTGCTTAACCCAATAGCATGTATTGTCTGGTGGAAATAGATTGAACATGGCGTTAACGTCACATTCTTTGGAATAGGGTAGGTATGAGAAATGTTAAGAGATTTGTTAGATGTCTCCAAATGAACTGAACTGAATTAAATTAGTACTAAGGGGAATGTTTTGGAGGGGGTTTGAAAAAGAACTTTATTTATCTATTTTGTTTTAAATGTAATTATTAAACAAATTTATTTGGCCACCCAACTAACACACAGGTGATTCCGGGCAACTTACAACATTAAAAACTACAACATAAAAACCATCTCTAATTTCCATCCTCCATTTTTCAGTAGAAACATTGGCCATTGTGCTTCCCAATTCTCCCATCTCTGTAATTCTTTATTCCACTCATTTTTCTTTATCTTCATCCACTCTCTATGGATGCAACCCATATCATAACTGAATAGGAAAATGTCAAAATCTATCATGAAGTGTGCATTATTATATTAAAAGTATTGAATATACTTTATACTCTAAACTCTTAAGTTTAGAGGTGAATAATATAATCTCAAGTGGTGGAATATCTAACTACAGACCATATTTTTTGTGTTACTGTATTTTGAAAAATATAGAATATAAAATTATTCTGATTTTATTAGTACTGCTATTCTGTTCAACACATATTAGAACCCTGTGATAATAGAAGGCCCGTTGCATGCTTCAAGTCCCATTGCATGACCTGACACAAAGTACAAGTGTTGGTGTGGTAAAGGAATCAGAGATGTGAGTCGGATACATAAACTCACATATTCTAGTTTCCATCTTATTTTTATAGCATCATACTATTTCAGGTAACATCCTTTTCTGTGCCCCCTGTGTATAGCATTATCCTGATGTTTCTGAAAATCTTGATTATCTGGTTCCTTAAATTAAGAACATGGGCAGCGATTCAAAAAAAATATCTCATATATGCGATAGATTATTCTTAGTAGGGCTTGATTTCCACATGGGTGGCTTTAAATGGCTCTAGTGTTTTAACAGTACCTCCAAGGCTAAAAGAAGTCAAGCAGAAGCACATAAAAGTAGCATAGAAATAGTCCCACCAAGGTCCTTCAACCCTGACGTAAGCATAGATTAACGCCTCATAATTCCTGGCAGTAAAGATCTCTGTAATTTATCCAGTAATTTTGTCTGCTCTAGGAAGGTGCAGTAATCCAACTCAATATAAAATGAGTTAAAAATGGGATTTTGAAAAAGAAAGTGCAATTTTTTGTGAAATAAATATTTGCCCGGCTTATGGGCAGTTTGATTTGTTAGCTAGGAATGAAGGTCCTACTTTAATTCACAGAGAAATTGATACCCTGTTGAAAAATAAAGAGAAAGAGAGGGAAAAATTATTGGATGCCAATCTCTCTGCTGATATAACTAAATTCCACTGATAACTCATTCTGCCTTACTTTTCACTGGTTCAAAACTAGCAGGGACTGCCAACATAATATAAGTCAGAATTGTTACACTAGAGCCAAAACAGAGAGGAGGGGAAGGCAGGACTAAAGGGACAAAGGCAATTAGACAATTAGCTTATTATCTACAGTATTCTGGGAAATTGGTGGTAATATTAAACAAAAAATAATCAAGCCAATAGTAGAGCGATTCTCGTGGAAGAAGAAATCAGTCCAGCTTCTGCAAAGGTAAGTCTTGTGTTATCAATACTCTTGACATGTTTAGAATGGCAATAGATAGTAAATAAGGATGACCCAAAAGGATGTACTCTGCAGCTTTCAGAAAGCTCTTGACTAATGGACAACACTTTTATGCTAACCTACATAGAGATAAGACTCGGGTGCCATCATCAAGCGTTGGCAAGAAGAAGAGAGGATGGATGAGAGGTTTCTTTCTTTCTTTTTTTGGCAAACCATTTTGCTTTTATTGCCAAAAGGCCTAATAACTATATATAAGAACCAAGCTGTACCTTCCCCATGATACATCTGTCTCCTGATTGTGCACGTTTTACAGATAGTTTTAATAACTCTGTAATAATATTTGTATACATTGATTTTTTTCAAGTCGTAATAAAAATTGATAGAGTGACTTGCAATATAAGGTTTGTAATAGTAAAACCTATTAAATAAATCTATAGTAGAGATGCTGTTAAAGTGATTGTGCAGCAGTAGTGAGGGCAGAGCTTCCATCTTTTCAATTTTTTCAGTGTGTATGTGTGTTTTAAAGAAAATTTGTGTTTTAAAGAAAATTTTATTGTTTTTCTAGTTTTACATTTAATATTTAAAAAGCAACGTGGTGGCTGAGTCAATCAATAATTCAATAATATACAAGTATCTTTAGTACAAGTCTCAAACTACTACATTAAATATTTCCTCTCTTTTCCCCTTAGTATTTATTGTCTCATATTTAAACTAATACAATTCTTATTATATCAATTAAATAAAAATAACTTTCTTACATTTATCAATAATTTTTATTTACACATATCCTAGTTATTTTAACATTCAATCTTTATAAACAATGTCCTAATTATTTTTTCCCAATTTTTAGTTTTCCATTAATATTTAAATTTAACATTTAATATTTATAATTTCCAAGTGTTAAATAACCGCAGTTCCTTTTATCACAATTTATCGCAAAATCTAATGTTCAGGATACTCGTCTTATCTATTTGAATATATTCTATTTCTCACCATCTTACATCAACTAATTAATAATACAGTATAACTTTTTTATTTTCTGTTAATTTCCAAATGTCTTAAATTTAGTAACCAAAATTTCTCTTATTTCAACATTTAATACTTCCTCTCTTTTTCTCTTGATGTCTGCTATCTCATATTTAAGCTAATAGTTTTTTACTATAATAGCTAAGTGAAAACATATTTATTTCATTGATCAATAGATTTTAGCTTACATATATCTTAATTACTTTTACATTCAATCTTTATAAGCAAATCAATATTCCAATTTAACTGTTAATACTTCCAAGCTTTAAATGACCAAAGGTTTCTTTATCTCAGCTCATAACAAAATCTAGTATTCAAAATACACATCTTATCTATTTGACTATGTTCTATTTTAATTCTTTGACTAATAAGTCAAAGCCCCAATTTTCTTCAGTCTTATTCTAGCTTTCTTTCTTTGCCAACTCACCTTCCATGGACGTGCTTTTAAGTCATCAAATAAATCTCCCTGTATTGTTATGTATATTGTTTGAAGTAGAAAAAAATCATCCAGTTGCCATTTTTTTTTAAAAAAAACTAACAAATCGTCTCTCTATTTTTCCATCTCAATTTAGTTGTCCTGAAATGTTTATCTTCCCTTCAGTCTGTTCTTCTTGATCCTCAGGTTTCTTCTGGTTTATATAGAAAGTATTTTCCCTTTTCCATGTTGTCAGTCCCTTTTCTGGGTTTTCCATTAACTGTGTTTGTTGATCAGTTGAATCTTCTGTCATAGTATTTAATTGTTCCACTTCTATTATATTCTATGCAGTTGATTTTTTTAGTTGTAATCAAAGTTTGGGTTTGTATATCTAGGCTAACATCTTGTTCTTTTCTGTAACTTCTTATTTCATCAGTAGCTGTGAGAATAGTTTCATAAATTGCTTTCAACATAAAGAGAATCTGCACCTGATGTTCATCCATGTTCTCTTAGTAGTGTGTTAAGTTAAAAGCTTTACAATCAAAGAATGAAAAAAAAATTGTCACTGAGTATAGAACACAGCTGGGTTTCTCACAGCTGATATCTATCAAGGTTACAAAAGTCTTATCTATAGTCTGGGCTTTAAGCCGAGTCTCTTTTAAGCAATAACAAGTTGTAATATCAGGTTTAGCCATAAGATGTCACCTATACCATTTAGAGTTTTCTTTTAAGTCCAAAATTTTTATAATCCTTTTTCCAATTTTACTTCTTTTTTGTACATAAAAACCCAAATCTTCAATAAGAATAAAAAAATCTTTTAGTCCACAAATTTTAAAAAGATAAAAATCAAGTTAAAATCAAGTTATTCTTGCAATGTTTTAAACTCCCCTGGATAATCAGTTGCCGCTGTTTTTAGAGGATGGGATAGAATCTCCCTTCCCTCTCTGCAGAGGGGAAATTACTTTGGGCAGCTTATGCAGGTGGAAAAAATAGTTAGGATTAAAGAGAGGTAGATCTCACCCAGTCTCATCCGCGCTGCTTTATAAGTGCCTGGTGGTAGATTTGACTTCGGCTGTCTGCAGCCTAATGTGAGCCATATTTCTATGGCCTGTCTTTCGTCTGCTGACCCTGGATTGAGCAGAAGGGCTACCACCCTCCCGTGATCAAGTGGGGATCCTCTCCTTGCTGGTCACCCCTAAAGGGCAACTTTCAATCCTTTCCAGGATCCCCCAGCAATGCGAAATTGGACATGGAAGACGGAGCTCGCCTTCAAAATGACCCTGGTGCTGCATCAGTAAATCGGAAGTCGAGAGGATGAGAGGTTTCATTCTATGGGCTGATACCCCCAAGAACCTAAATTTGCTTTGTTGCTGTAGCCAGAGGATCCATAAAAGCAAAGGCTGCAGAAATAATGGAAGAAAAGCTGGAAATAAACAAGAGATCCATTTCCTTCCTACTCTATAACCTGCTGTTTTGCTGCATGGTACCAATAACCCTGTAAGATGCAATTTCCCCCGAGAGCTGTTTTATTGTCAAGAATCAGAGGATGAGTAGATAATTTCCCCCTTTTCCCTTGCCACTTTTTTCCAGCTCTGACTTAACATCAGTAAAGAATTGATGAACATGTAATATTTTATTTATCTTGGATGAATTTGCAAAAATTTGGGAAAGTATTCCATAAATTCACTCTAGTAACATCTACAAGGAAGAATCTGCACTTTTATGATCTATGCTGGTTCAAGGGAAAATAGGTTTCTTCTTATGCAATAAAATTGAGAAAAATAGGGAGAGCATACAAATTGAATGAAAATACTTA